TACTGCTTGGATAGAGGTGACCAGAAGGGTTTACTTGGGTATGAATGCAGGTTAGACACAGTGTGCTAACGCCTAGTTTACTATAGCAGTTCTCAGCCAGGGGCCGTGACACCCCCAGGTGCCTTGAGATCCTTTCAAGGATGCCTTGTAACGTTAGGACTGTTAGGCGTGTGAACATGATTCGCAAGATAAACCCAGAGATTTCAAATAGGAATCCATAGTATTAAATACATTCTGACTTGTTACGATCAAGTTTTTTGCAACAGAAGAATTGCTTTATTATTTTTTTAAGTTAAAAAAAAAAACAAAAAAAAAAGGAAAAACTAAGTTGTTATTTTTTGAGCAGTGTCTTGAATCTAAGAAGGTTGAGAACCACTAGTTTACTAGATTGTGTTATCTTATGTTGAAAGTGGGCTAGCTAGTAAGATCTGTGATGATTTGTATGTGTGAAATAAAAATGGATGCCAGTGACCCTTTATAGTATAAAGGCTTATACTTTGTTTATGACATGAACTTTTGTAAGTGAATGAACACATTGACTAGTGGTAATTTGTTAGAACCTTTTGGAAATGTATAAATGGTAATTCTGTGACTTTTTTTGATTAGAGAAACCAACTGGAAGACTGTTATCCTTGTATTGAGGGACTGCTGATGAAGCCAGCTAATGTGAAGTCAGCTAGCCATAAACTGTGTTAATTTAGTGTTTCTGTGATTAAATGAGATTCAGGGAATGTTCACAAAATGAAAACTTAAACTATGCTTTTTGTTGTCAATGATCCCCAGATCTTAAAAAGAACCATGGAGTTCTTTTTTGGGACAAAATGAAAGAAGAGGAAGAAGTACCCGTCTGTTCCTTCCCATCTTTCATTGTGTCATGGGGCTGCCACCTGGGAATACTCGCCACGTCACTTTTCTTCTCCATCTTTACTGTTTACTTTGCAGGAAAGGACAAGATGTGTTCTCCAAGCCCTTCCTGTGTTACTTTTACTGCCCACAGCCCAGATTTGAGGTGGGAATGGGCAGTACGTCCTGTCACTTTCCTTCTCTCTCTCAAACTCTATAGTAGCTAATGGCCTAAAATGAAAAAGAAGTTTTAGTAACTATGGATTGACAAATTAAACTGCAATTACTAAATAAAAAAGGATATAAGTTATAAATTAAGGGCAGGACCTAGCTGTTGGGTGTTGCCTTAAAAAGGCAATTCTGAACACTTAGAAAACTTTTGGTTGACCAACTTGGTAAGAAGCACATCCCTCATTAAAGCTGAAGGCGCACACAGGGGTTTTAAGGGGTTAAGGTGTAAAAAAAAATAATTTCCCACATTCAAAAAAAGCTTTCCAAACTAAGTGGGGTTCTAACCTATTGGCTTTTCAACTAATGCAAATTTCATTTAAGAAATACTAGATTGTTTTTAGGTCTGCTTCAAGTTGTACCTGCAATTGGTGCAGTCTTTCTGAGTTTGTATAAAGTAGCTTGAGTGGAGGGAAGGTAAATGAATTGTGGTCTGTTTCCCTAGTTTCATTACTCATTATAAGATTCTGAATAGCAGCTGTGAACTTACTAAGAATCCTGTCAGTTTCCCTGTTTTGCATTTGCTGAAAACTATGAACTGACTTTTACGAAATTGATTTTGTAAAGGATCAGATACCAATCTTAGCAGAGAGCAAAGCACATGTAGATGTCAGAGAGACAAAGAGGATAAAATATGGCCTGGTGTATTAACTAAACTAGATATTATATATTTTGTTGTAATTTAGGAAGAAGGAAAATTTTGTGTGCCCCCCTCTTTTTTGAATCTCCCACATTTTTGCTTTCTTTCTTCCTCCATACTTTTTCTTTCTTTTTTCCTCCCCTCTCTTTTTTTCTCTCTACTTCTTTGTGAATCCCACCACATTTCTCATCCTATATGCTTTCCTGTTAAATAGTGCAATCATTCATGTTGACTTATAAAAGGCTGCTATAGTTTCACTGTGTTGTTCACACCCCCATGTAATGGGCATCAGGATATTTCATACCTCTTAGCCCTTATTTCAGACTATGTTTAGACTTGGATAATACTGTATCAGTTATGTATGGGTTGATTGTGTGTATGTGGGAGCAAGAGTAGAAGAGGAAGCATTCCACTGGGAGGGCTAGAAGATGACAGGTTAGATTTGTCATGTTCTGTTTTTGAAATCTTATTATAAAGCAAAGTGATATTCAAAAGGAAGACCCTCTAAAACTAGAAGAGATTGTCAAATCGCCCGAAAAAAGTAGGAAAAAAGCTTCTTTCTTTTTATCAAGGGAGAGGCTTTCCTTCCCGAACAGAGACCCATAGGAAAGAAAAACGCGTGTCATCTGGAGACAGCAGTACCTTCCTCTTTCCCAGTAGGTGAAACTTTGGGTTTTGTACCAGGACTTTGCTATTGGACTTGTTAAGTGGAGTGCCTTATCTTCTCATTTCAGAGGTTCTGATACATTTCCAGAGACCTCTTTTAAGGTATTACATCATTAGAGTTTCTTTTTAAAATAACCTTCCTAAAACTTGCACATTTGTTATTTTAGAACAAATTTTTGCTTTGCTTAGGACCTCACTTAACCAGAACCAGATTTCAGTTTACCTCTGTTTCATCATAATTTATTCAAAGATCAGCACTGCAGAAATGCTTCAGTTAAAGTGAAAAGGAGAAACATTAGTATTACATATATATTCTAGGGCAAATCTTCAATCTCATATATTTATGGATAAACAATCTTTGCAGCTGGAAAGTAAGGGTAACATGACCCTTACTGTTGGTGATTATTGGCATAGGTAACCATGTGTGCAAAGGTGCTTCTGCAACCAGAATTGTATAAGAAACAGTTTTTTTATTTTATTTTTTTAATTTTTTTTATTCCTTCATCTTGCTTTCATTTAAAAGCCATCATCTTATGCAAGTCCTAAAGGAATCGTGATATTGTAAAAGCACCATTAAAATCATGTTGGCAGAGGTTATGAACTTATATGCTTTATGAAATATACTTTACAGAACTTATTCTTCACATTTTATAATATTACGGTAGTAATGATTTGAAATTTGATTGAAGAATCTTTAATCAAAAAGGTAAACGCATGCTTTCTAAACAGTGTATCTACTTTTTTCACTTCTGAATTTTGTTGTTGTTGACACTTTTTCCTTACATTGAAGTGTTAAATCCAGTCTTTCTCATCTCATCTTTTTTTGTGTTCTACTTCTAGCAACAGAGGCAGCATACTATGATGCATTCTTTCTGAGCCATCCTTCATACCTCTTCATTTGCAAGAAATGTTAAATTTGATGTAATCAATGTGATCATGCTGATGGCCATTTACTGCTCATATCAGCTGGTACCATTTAAAACTAGGCCCTCTCCCTGGCTCGTACTACTTCAGTCAAGAACTATTGCTTCAGTATGCCCAGATAGAAAATGGGATAATTTTAGTTCTTAAACTAGCTTCTTTATTATCCCTGTTTTTACCCCTCCTCTCTTGAAACCAAACCAAAACTAAAATAAAACACAAAAAAATAGTGATTTGTCTTAAATGTACAGATTGCTGTTATATTTTAAAGAAACTTTTTACTCTGTGTGTGTCTGTATGTACATGTGCTTGTATGTATGGTTTTTTAAAATATTTTTTTCAAATTGTTATGGAGGTGTAAAAGTAATTACTTGCAGCAAAAATCTCAAGGAAAAGACAAAAACAGGGAAGCTGGAGAAGGAAGTCCCTTTATGAAATTGCTTGGGGGAAGAGGAGGCTACTCTCCTAGACATTTCCAGCAAGCTTGAACAGCCTGAGAGAGAGATCTTTCTCTTTAAGCCAGGGTGGGTGATTATTTCAACTGGCAGGCCACTTAAGTTTTGGTGAGCTGTCAAAGGTAGCACATGGAAAACCTTTGAGAAGATATCATTTTAACAAATTATAGATAAAAAACCCAACAAATTGTATACTAAAAATCAAACTTCTGTTACAATGTATTTTAATTTTATTTCAGAAAATAATTTTTGTCCTGATTTGTATGTTTTTGAGTAGTGTATCTAGAGGTGATTGCATACTAGCTCTGTTATAAATATGAGCTAAAAGTGCTAACTTGATTAAATAAACTCTTAACTTTTAAAATAAACTTTTTAGTTTTTGAGTAGTGGCAAGGCAGTAGTATCTGTTCATAAGATTATCCTGATGGTTCATTAGATTATCCTGATGGTGCTGCTAATTGTCAGTGAAAGCACAGAAAAGTAAGAAAGTGAAGGAACAATCTGAACTGTCACACTTTTTCTCACCTTCTTGTATCTGTTTAGTTGTTTTTATTAACTTTAAGTTCGTCTCCTAATTTCTTTATTTTTTCACATTCCTTTCTACTCTTCCTAATGTTGTCTTCCTCTGCCATGCTTTCTGTTTGTTGATACTGTTTAGCTTTGTTTGGGATGGCAAGTCTTGGAAAGATCTACTTTCTTTCAGGAGAGTAGGTAAGAAAGAGCGCTTGGTGTTCAATGCAAGGATAACAATGTTTTTTTAAGTAGGTCTTTTTAATGTAGGTCTGCTGCTAGAGAACTAATTGATTCATTTAAATTTATTTGGCCCTAAAAAAAGTCTAATGAGAAATTTTAACAGAAGCTGTTAGAGTTTGTGGGATTGGAGGTAGAATTTATCATTGGTTAGAAGTTGGCTATATGACAGAAAACAGTGGCTCAATTGAAAGATGATGAAAGATTAATTTCAGAGTACTTTATGCATTCTTATTAAGAGGAGTGAGTGGAAAAAATTAATGGCAGTGTTTTTAGAATACATAGTTGTTTAGGCTATTTGCATAAAAACCACCAAGGAATGAAAGACCTGAAAGTAGGTGAACGGACAGCATGATAGTA